ACTGAGCCTAAAGCCTGGTTCATTTTCCCTCTCATAAGAATCAGCTTCCCGTATTTCTTCAATAATTGAGACTATGTTCTCTGCTCTTGCAGACACATAATCAAATTCCTTTGTATCTTGAATATTTACTGATTTTGCTGCCTGTATGATCTGCTCGGCTTCTCTTAACTCTGTCATGTTCAGTCTCGAACTTCTTGACCTTAGAAAACTTTCAAGGACGCTCATTAACTTGTTCATTTTAGCATATTTATCTTCAAGAGCCACCTTTGCATCAGCCAGCTTCATCTGGACCCTTCCTTCGCGCCACACCTCAGCCATCTGTAACATGTTCCTCTCCTCTTCCAACTCCTTCTGCATCTTCAACATTTCTCCTTCCAGTGCTTCAAATTGAACCTTCTCTTCTCCAAGTTTCTTAGAAAGCTCCTTACAAACTCCCTCTAATATCTCTCTCGCTTTCTTCTCTTTCTCATAATCATGCTTGAACTGCTTTGCAGATAATTCAGCTTTGACAAGCTCCTTCCTAATTTTAGAGTAACGAATCTCCAACTTCTGTTGGGTTTTCCTTTCCCTCCTCAGTTCATCCTTCAACTCATTGATATCAGCAACAGACTTGTCAAATTCTCTCCTCCATTGCGACCACCTTTCCTCACCAAGCTTCCTCAATAAATACCTGATTTTCATCTTGGAGGACAACAGTTCAGCTTCTAGCTCATTAATGTGGGATTGAGCCTGCACCAGTTCTGCTTGCAGGGAAGAAATAACAGACACAACTTTGACTTGATTTTCAAGAACCTTTGTGCGGGTTTGTAAATGATAGGCATTTGATGTCTTTAAGCACCTACTGTCCCATTTAGTTGATCCCTCTATTGCAGATTTTCGATATGGAAAATGGGATACAAGCTAGAAGTATTAAAAAAGAAACGAAGTTAAAATGAATACGATCATCAACAACTTGAGAATCAGAACTAATTTAAGCAATCGAACAGAAAATCATGCTGGTTTCTTGTTCATTTGCTGGCAAGTATGAACCCCACATTCAACATTCTAGCCTTTATTTTGTTTTCCTACACTTTCTTAGCATCCAAATAAAAAGCCTACTTTTCACTTTTCACTTCACCCCAAAACCTCCACTCAACACAAAACTTTCTACAACTCATGACTGCAAAATATTAAGGTTAGGACAGAAACCTCAATCAAACAAAAACAAGATGATGAATGGTACATTATTGGCAAAGGAAAAAGCCATTAATTTACCTCAAAGCCTAACCCCTTAGAGAACCCACATTCAGAGCCAGAGCCATATTTGCAGCACTTCAGCACCTCTCCTGACAACGGCAGCTGCCAGAGGCCCGCCGCCAGCTTCCTCACGGACACCCCCACGTGTCCCCCTCGCCAAAACTGGACCCCAGCCCCAGAGCCGGGGCATTCCTGTCTCTTCCTGCTCTTGTGTTTGCTGCCCATGGGCTGGAACTTCCAACGCAAAGGAGGGGTCACCGGGGCCCTGATCCTCCGGTTGGTGGTTTTCCGTCCGGGAGAGTGGATCCCACCTGAAGAATTCATTCGACTATCTTTGGGGTTTGTCGGTATTATTGAGAATACTAGAACCGACGACCATGGCTTCCTAAATAGGTTAGTTTTTCCAAATTGGGTTTCTTTTTTCCACCTGTTTTTGGTGAGTAGAAGTAAACAATTAGCTGGAGATTTATTACCGAGGAGGCAATGAAATAACAGATTCTGCCACACATTGATGCAATTTCCTGTTTTGAGAAACACAGAAGTAATGCCAGGATTACTTGGTGTCTAACCATTGAATAAGGATGTGCATGAGCACTTTCCAGTTCTCATCCTATGTGGCCTAACCTAACCTCTTGAATCAGAAAAACACCATCATTTTCAGCATTAATGCCATGTTATAGAGTTCCAAGGCCGCAAGACTGAACCATCATTAGTTCTGCATTAAGAATCTAACACACTTAAAAGGGTTTGATCTCATTCTCTTAACAGTTTCTGATTCTGATTTGACTCTGCTATTAGAGTCTGAAACCTATCTGGGGTTTTGATCTAATTCCTCCTTAATTCATTAGGTGAAACCATGAAAGAATTGCCTTCCTGAATTAACTGCGAGCTGTGCAGTTGCACTTGACAGATGAAATGAATCATCTTTATTAAAATGTTGCAACAGTTGGGAGGATCTCATTTAATCTCAACATTATGAAGTGAGTGTTCCAGATATTTGGAGCTACCTTTTGCTGTGAATTGAAGTTTAAACAGGAAAATCTCCTTGCATCTTAATGATCCATCTAGGAAGGTGGATCAAAGCAAGAAATACTGAATGTGGTAGATAACTGGATATGGTGGTGAAATGAATAAGAATCCCTTTTCAGTTGGCTTCTAAAACAACCTCAAAATGTGCGGTAAACACACCATGGAACAGTTCTTGAACAGTTCAACTTCTTGAACATTTCTAGTTACACATGTTTTTGCAGGTTGTAATAACCTCCATATTATGAAACATTAACTACTAAGCCCTGAAAAGGACGTTGTGAAATGTAAGAAAAGTCTTCACAAGTTCATCTAGAGACAGAAGATTAATGTTGGCCGCAGATGACAGCTATTGAAGCTTAACCTTAACGTTATTTATGTGGAAATAAAACATAGCTACCCCATTTCTGTTTCCCTTTCCTTGTTAGTTGATGGGGACTTGAAAACTACCTTTACAAGGCCAATTGGCCATGCCCTTGATAGTTGATACCCATAACTTAAAAAAAAAAAAAAAAAAAAAACCCCTGTTAATTTTCATACCACTAAAATATTATTTTTTTAATTTATTAACTGATAAATAGTAATTATTTTATTAATTATTGTTAATAGTTTTATTCTTAATTATTTTTATCAATAAAATTAAACAAAATTAAAATTTTCAAAGATAATATTTTATAATTTTAATAATTATTGTTAGCGACCATAACTCTGTCTTCCTGGCCAG